CTGCAGAGAATATGGGGACAGTATCAAGTAATTGACTGTTGCTGCAGAGCCCGGCTGCTGCCCCCCTGACCAGAGCCTGCTTTGGGGCATGTCTGGATCACCCACTGCCTGCCTCATCAACAAGCAGCTTCCTCGCTCTGACATCAGTACAACAGCTGACCTGGCTAACAACTGCATCCTTGATGCTAACTTGCTGAGTGCTGCACCTCTGCTACAGTCTGGATCAAATTACACAGCACATCATCAAATTACAAAAAGGGTGGAGCTGATCAAAACTCACTGGTCTAGGCACAGCATGCCAGTCAGGTTCCCAGGATCATCTTAAGATACTCTAGAGTTTTTGTTATTACCTAAAAACATGCTTTAAGGGTACAAAGGCTCTCAAACAAAAGCTTTCCCATGCCATCCCTGCTGCCACAGGTCCCGAGAGGGATCGGTAACCTGTCACACAGCACTGCGCGCAGCAGTGCTTTGGGGTAAACAGCACAGTTCTGCACCGAGCCTGGCCCAGAGCTCCGAGAGCAAAGAGTGAGCTGGCTTTGCAGAGCAAGATACTAAGAGCTTACTCCTCGCTGCTGCTGGCTGGGGGAATTTTGGCTGCAATGCATGTGCGTCTGCTCCTCAGGGCTGTTACAGAAGAGAACTGCTGAAAGCGCAAAACACAAACAAGTTCCGCAGCATTAACTAGGGAGCTCTTACCGAGAGCCACCCCCAGACAGCACGAACCTGGCCAGGCATGGGCAGGGCCAGGCATTCCCTAGAGAAAAGGGTCCGACCACGGGTGAAGCCAGAAGTTCTTACCAATTTACAAACTCAGCCAACACTGCAAAGCTGGGGCAAGGAGATGGGGGAAAATCAGGTCATACATAAATTAGAAAGAGGTGGGGAAGTTGATAAGCTACAGAGACACTTTTCAAGGACACAGAGGCTTTTGCCCCACAGTGCTCTAAGTGTACGTGACAGTGGTTAGGAGCCAGGCTGCTGAGAAGGAAGCAGGGGGAGCCCCAGCTCGAATCCTTTGTTAGGAAACACAGTTACAGTAATGAGGAGTTACTTCCTCCCCCTCAGAGTTGATATATTTTATATCATATATAAAGCTCACAGTCTCTGCATGTGAGTTCCAAACAGCTGTTCTGGGCTGTCACAATTAAATACACACAGGTGAGAAATAGTTAATTCTTCGGGGGGGAGCAGACAGAAGCCACATACTTCTTGGTGACTCAGCTGAAATTGGTGTAGTATTGCTTTCATATCAGAATAGTCTCCCCTACTAGTTTTTTCTGACAGTGTTATCTAGAAGAAAAATAGGACAAATTTGATTTTAAATTAAAATTTTGTTTTGCCTAAGTTGAGAGCCCTCATGACACATATACCTGGCAATTGCCACATATTCAGGTTAGGTTGGGGATATTGGAAAGCATGGAAAACACCAAATTTGAAAGACATCCTGAAGTAAAAAAGCAAAAGTACTATAAAAATATTATAAAGAATAACTGGAAGGAGAAATGGAATAGAGATAAGAAAACATGATAGTGTTGTAACTTGAACGAAAAATGCAGTTTACTACTGTTTGGCTAAAAATTTATTTCCAAATTCCACTCGCTCACTACTAGTATGAAAAGAAAAATACCTGGGAGCCTTCCCTCCACTTCCCCTCCCAGGAGGTCAGCACTGAGCTGGGGAAGCCACCAGCCACCCGTGCGTATTTCCTAACTGCTTCAGCAACTTCTTCCCCTTCTCTCACAGAACACACCATACTCCCACGCTCTGGACAGGAAACACTCATCTCAACAAAAGGCTTCTGAACGTCAGGCGGCAGCGCTGGCCGTGCCGGGGTGCTCCCGGCTGGCGCCCGCAGACACGGAGCGACCTGCTCACACTTCTAACACACTTCACCCGCCGCGGCTGGCCAGCCAAGCCCAGGTCACTTCTGAACTCATAAGGTTTGCAGGATGAAGTGTGACCTTACGGAAGTTTCAGAATACAAAGGGCAGTATTTCTAAGCTTCATCCCAAAGACGCAGCAGAAAACCAGCTCCAGAACTGTTAACAGGTTGGTACATTACAATTCTGGGGTCTGTGTCCTGGTAACTGTGCTACAAACATGCTCTATCACTTTTTTGCCATTATCCTTTTGCCTTCCGACAAGAAGGCTTATGTTAGTCAAACAATTATTAAAATATTTTTTTCTGACAACTTTTCCAAAGAAAGGGCAGGTGGCTTCATGACCTCACTGCAGGACTTTGTGTCAAGTAGTTTATTAAGGAGTTCAACAAAATGTTAAACCGAGAAGGCATGAACAGCCGCACCAGACCCAAGAGGGACAGGGAAGCCCAGGCCCAACACGGCCTCCAGAAACCCAGAGGAGCCAAAGCAGCGTGTACAGCTTCATCCTCGAGCTGAGAAGCCTCATAGTTGGCCAGGCTGAAGGAACAGGGATAAAAGGTGCCTCCGCGCAGAGAGCGCCCAGTGGCCAAGCAGCGAGGGAGGAATGTTCCCAATCCCCCCAAGTGCTGAGGTTGTTCCGGACAGGAGAGCTGCAGGACAAAGCTTTACAGCTTGAACTTACTCAGAAAACCCCGGAGAACACTTTTCTCTCTGCAAATGTAATAGCTTTGGATTTAGCACAGTTGTGCTTCAGTTAACCCCTGCAAAGCACCAAAATCCCACTCCTCGCCGGGGGGGCAGCAAACGCCGCCCAGCGCGGTTGCTGCTGCCCTGGCTGGGGCAGCGGGCGCCTCCTGGGCCTCCGAAGCAACGAGCCGCGGCTACTGCTCAGTCTCTTACCTTGGTGCAAGTCAGTCGCAGCGTGCAGGGGGGCGATACAGCTTAAAAAGGAAGGCCAGGATTTTTCTGGAAGGCTAAATTCATTCTCATGAAGCCTTTGGCAATTAGTACTTCTAGAACTTTTTCCGGAATGCTTTTTAAGTGTAGAAAATCATTCATAGGTACATTTTCCTAGCAGGGACTAAAAAAATGCCACTGCAAAACAGAGAAAGACCTTTATTTTAATTGCAAAAGGCAGGAGGGAACTCCACAAACTGAAAGCACCTGAGATGTGCATTGCTGTCAGGTGGGTGGAAGGGTGTGGGAAGACAAAGCAGTAACAAAGTGGATCTAAAGATGTTATCCCACTGCTTGGAACCTCTAAGGGGAAAACCATCCAAAAAAGTGTCTTTTTTCTCTCCCTGAATATCCTCACCAATATTTTATTCACCTTAAGTTTGAGGTGTGTAGCTGAAAGCTGATGCCTTTCTTTTGTCCCAAGCTGACTGCGAGTCTGCGACCTAACACCTGCTACGAGCAGTAAAAGCATACTGTTAATTAAAAATTATTTACTTCATTAAAAAGTGAGTTACCTGATAATGAGCACTGCAGGCACGTGCTAGATGAAGTGCTTTCAACTAAGTGAAAGAACAACTGGGGAAAAAAAATAATTACAATAAATACAAGCCACAGCTTCCCCCCCTGCCACACCCACCCAGCCACCCACACTTGCTAAATCCTGGAGGCCCCCGCGCCCCTGAAGGGCTATGCTGCTTCTTACTGTTGCTTCAGATGTTCCACCTCTCGGAGACACGTTAGAGCCAGCTCAGAGGCCGTCAGCCCCTTTGCCTGAGAACAGAGGAAGACATTAATTAACGACCGTACACACACGTGCCTGGGCAGAATTTTCTACCATGCTAAATATGCTGCTCTTGGAACATCTGACAGAGCAGGAGGGATCGGACACCGGAGCTTCCTTACCTGCTGCAGCGAGACCTTCCCCAAAGTGGTGTTATTGTTATTGTTCAGGCAGATTCATTCTGAAACTCCTGTTTTCCTTCCAGTCAAGTAACAGTTACCGCATCTATCAAACTAACAAGAGCTAGGAGCTCTTGTGGGAGTTCCCCAAACCCAGTTTGACACAGAATTTTAAAGGAAAAAAGTTCTAGTTACCTCAGGGAAGCCTTTCAGTCAATAAAATAACAGAACTGGAACCACTGCTTTAAAAAAAAATAAAATAAAATCCACAGTTTAACAGGCTACAGGTACAAAGCAGTCAACACACAAACGCCGACCAGTCACAACAGTAAAGGACAGTTTTTCTTTTTTCCTTTTTTTTTTTTTTTTTTTTTTCTTTAAGGGGCAGGGGCATGGAAAAAATACAGCACACTAATGAAACAAAATGCAAAAAATACAAAAAAATAGAAAATAGAAAAAAAATGTATTTACAAGTGATACATTACTATGATCAGAAAGCACAAAGACAATTGCTGCTATAATACATGCACTGAGTCAAGAAGGAACTACTAAAAACCTGCAAGGGAGCCATTTGTAAAAAAAGAAAAAAAAAAAACCTAGCAACTCAATAACAAACAAAAAAAGAACAAAAAGAAAAAAAGACACCCCCACCCCCTCCCCCCTCAACGAACAGGGTTGGGTTTGAACTTTTGTCTTCCCTAGTTTGCTACATTGATCAAAATCAAATATCCCCTAAAGTCCATGAGTACAGTTGGTACAAATACTACACTTGTTTTTAAACTGCAGGTTCAGTTGTAGGAGGGGGGAAAAAAAAACAGCAGCTCATTGTAGATCCATATACAAGAAAGCCATAGTAAACTGCTCTACATGCTAAAAATTACAGCAAGCCCCTGTCTGCTACATAGCATGATCTTAGCAGGTTTTCCTTTTTATTTATTCATATATATATCTATATGTGTGTATATATATATGTATAAAAATCGTGCCCTTTTTCACTGCAACATGACATCTGGGTGGAAATGTAACTTGTTACAACAAATTTTTATATGTATACTGCAAGAAGTCACTCAATGTCTGTGGATTTAATAAGTAACCTCACACCACAGGAAATATTTAATAAATCAAAAAAACCCAATATTGTGACAGAAGACCTTCTGTCTCAGTTCATTTCAAAACTGAAGTCCAGCAGGAAACTGGTCCCAATGTCCACGAGGGGTTCTCTGAAGAAGCTTCAGTTTGCTTAACCGTTTTTTTTTCTTTTAGTGTTCACAAGTTTTTGAACGACTTCAAGCCGTTTTCAGTCTCAAGTCTGTCTCTTCCTCTCTCACAAAGGCAATAGTCTGGTACTAATCCATCCGAGTGAGGAAAAGAGGAAAGTGGCTGCAGTCGCACAAAGGGTCCCCACTTCCACACCTGCAGGGAGATACGGAGTCACACGGAGCTCCAGGACCTTAGCTTTTTTTTCCTTTTCCTCCTCTTAACACGAAGTCCTTTCATACAAGTCCCTTAATCGGTACCTTCCCAAGTACCAGCCAGTCCAGCTCTAGGAGACGACAAAGCCACAAGTGTAAAGGACCAAGGCAGAAGTTCAGGTCACTTTCTATCTGTTCCATCATACTTCCAGGAAACGGGAGCTGCTGGACTTGGAGTGGAAAGGCTCAGACCACATGCGACGTAGATCGCCCTGGGCAGGAAAACAGCAGAAGGACCACACCCTCAGAAACTTTACAGTTCACTTCAAATTCAGAGTTTAAAATGCAGGTATAATTGCAAGCATATGTTAAAGCAAATCTATTATTCACCTATTTTGCAAATTACAATGAAGACGGTAAAAAAATAACTCCTTTCCCTGTTGGGCCAGAACACCTTATTTTGGCAGCAGATCTACCCAAAATGGATTTCTGACAGGTGGAAGATTCTGCTCTTCCTTATGCTCCGCTCTGCCAAGCGCTGGATGTGTTTCATCAACAGCCCTGTAAGGGGAAAGGCTACATTTTTAAATTTCTGTTCAGAACAGCTGACTGGAAAGAGGTAAATGAGGATCTGCCTCTCCAATCTCTGTTCGACCTCTGTGCACGCGTTCTTGCATGACAAATTCAGTTATTTCATTAAAACAGCATTTAATACTTCAGAATTTAGTTAGTTTATAATCACTAGTACTTTACGTACATAAATTATCTTCTATTTCAGGAACTTATCTCTCAGTTACTCAGTCCTTCAAAGTGAAGATTCACCCCAACAGCAGCGCTGCCTTAGTTCTGGGCCAGGGCTCCTAAGGACACGCGTCATCCCCGTGAGAGCAGCTGCCCAGTGCAAGAACACTGAACCCGCCTCCAGCCGACCCCCGAGCCTCCCGTGCGAACGCATAATCCTGTCTTACCTTTAAATAGGCCATGGTGAGGAGCGGCAATAAAGTAAATGGTACCAAATAGAGTAGGGCAGGCTGGGCTGCCCGGTGAATGCGAGAAGCTACTGTTGCAGTTAATAGACCTGTAAAAGAAAAAAGTGACTTAAATATCTTTAGGTTGCATATGGACGTTCTCATAATCTCATCCACGCGTGGCTCCTTTCCCCACCATTTTAAGAGACAGGCCGTGGCAAAGTTTCTCATCTGTGCTTTGCTTTCCCTGAATACAATTGAAACAAACAGAAGAGTGAAAAATTATTCTATTTTAATACTAGGCTGTGTTGAGCCACCTGCTGCAGTTTTGAATCTCAAAGACCAAACTACAAATAACTCAAACAAAACGCAACAAAAGGCGAAGGGAAGTTGAATGCACCAGACTGAAGTGCTGCTGCAGTGCTGGTACCTCTTGAGACTGTCAGTCTGAGGCCCCTAGCCTGAGAAACGGGGGGCCGAGAGGAAGGGTTGTACACACCAGGAATGATTTTCCTGGATACTTGCCGAAAGGGAATGTAGGGAAAGACAAGGAGGGGGAGGAGAAAGGCTACTGGTAGGAAACGATCTTGCTTTTTCATCCTCAGAAGGACTGCAGGAGGTCGGGGTACACACACACATGTCCTGACCTTAGGGGAAAAATCTCATTTATATTAGGGAGGAGAGGGATGGCTACATCACATTATAAACAGCATTCTAGTTGTGACTGTTTACAATTTTCTGTGTGTACTAAAATGTCACAGGACCATAAGCATTAACAGTAGAATACAAAAATGCAGGAATTATCTAGATGAATTACCTAACTGTACCCTCGCACAGCATAATCCATCTAGAAACTCCCACATTCTTCCCATAACCCAGGTATGAGCTATGACACCTTCTATGCTAGTAAAGCAAAGTACAAAAAGTTGCTAACAAAAATATACTGTTAATCTTTTTCATCCTCTAAATAAAATGCAACCAAAAGAAAAATATCTTAAAAAGACAACTGTAGGAGGATTTTTCTCCGTGGACCACACCAATGAAACCCAAACAGAGGAGGATTAAGTAAGAACATAACCAAGCGTTCTCTCAAAGCCTCTTTACAGTTGCTTTCATCATCTTTAAAACCTACTGCAATAATCCCACTTCTGCTCACTAAGCAGCTCTCCATATTAAACTGATTACTCACCTACAAAATATCCAATAAGTGTGCAGTGAAAGTAAGAGACCTTCTGCATACGTCCAGAGATGTTCCCTGGTCCTGGGGCACCACAGGAATCACTGTTGGCTTGCTTTTTGTAGTTATCGTAACGCAGGACAAAGCAGAGCAAAAGACCTGGCATCACAATATCTCCGATCCCCAGCATGGAGAAGTGGCTGCCTGTGGAACTAGAGAGCAACTGAAATTGGGTTCACGCCCAGAACACTAGGTGACAAGCACCAGACTCCTCCACTTTGCTTTTGAGCTCCATTTTGTACATCCCTTCTTTCCACTGGCAAACTTTTAAGGAGTAGAAGCTAAATGCCGGCTGCCGAAGAGTTTTTTCCTCAATGATTTCACCACCACCTCAGCTCAGTTTCAAACATACCCATTTTGACAGTAATGACATGTTGCTCCGAAGCAGTTTATTTCTGCCGGCAGTGTTTAAGCTGCTTTTGCTCTTAACTCAATGAAAGAGATCCATCAACTCAGTATTTCAATCATCTTTTTTCTAGGCCTTGATGGGAGGTACCCACTGGCCATTTTATCTAACTGTTTGATTAACACTGATTGACACTGCACCTTCATTCCCGTGTCAATAGATCGCCTCTAATAAAAGGCAGTAAGTCAATTTATGGACCTTTCTGATCTTTTCAGACAAAACACACAGAAGACTAGTCTCACCAGATTCCTGGAGAGCCAGCTGTTAAGTAAATTAAGAACTAAAATTGCCCATTGTCTTAAATCCAAGATATTTTTCATGCAAACAAAGCCAAATTAAGTTATCACAAAGCTGACAAAATGAACAGCTTTGGTTTTATCGTTGCAGACAATCAACCCCAAATCACTGCAATTTCAGCATCCCAACATCCAAAGAAACAAAAACAGAGTAAATAGGCCAACATAACCTACTGCGTAACTGCTGACACACTGGAGCTTACTGCCCGGTCAGGCCAACCTACATGTATCTGGTTAAAAACTGGAGACATCAAGGACCCCTGCAGTAGACAGATGTGGAATAATCTCCCTCCAACACAGCACTTACCCAGTAAGCCGTCCTTGCTTAGATCAGTTTCTAGCTCTCTTCCCAATCACTTGAAATTATGTAGTAATCAAGACTATTCTGGTGTTGTCATAAACCTCAGGTCTGTTGCTTTTAAGCAAAAGGTCAGAAACCCTGCAATAGCAGTCATTAAACTGCAGAACTCACACGTATGTCAAGAAGCATATCCTGTGCTAACAGGCCACCTTTTAACCTAATTAGGATAATTTCTGTGTGCTGTGAGTCAGCAAATGCAAAGTGTCCAATCCTCACTACTCATTATACACCTTTTTCTCACGAAGAGGGAGTGACTAAACAGGGAATAAAGGGATATTTTCCAACAGAAATAGTGCTCCTACAAGGTACAGGGGGGGAACATTTTTCTTACATAACACAGGAAAAGAACTGCTGATTTTACCTTGGAAATACAAGTTTACCAGGCAGCGACAGACGGGGAACATCTCTACCCACATTTGGTCCCAGGTGAAGTTTCCGGGATAAAACATCAAGAGGATTATCAGCTGGTTGTGTGGCCACTTTCACCATAACATTGCTGTTAAAGATGTAGGCAGAAAAAAAGACCTGTGGAGCAAGGAAATCAGCAGAAATCACCAAGTGCAACTATGTAGCAACTCCAAGCTGCATGTGTTTTTGCTTTGCAAGAAAAGAAATAATATTTTCCAAATTTTCCATATATATACGTTGTATATATGATGATAAAAGGCAAAATGTATTTTAAAAATTCAGATAAAGCTCTTTACGCTATTAATCCTCAACCATAACTGGAATATACTTTCTGATATCAAGATCTTGATCAATATCTTGAGATCCCTGGGCAAAGCATATGTCCAGACTACAAGCAGGTAGTCCAGGGCTACAAAGGCTGGTGACAGGATACTGAAAATATGAGAAAGCTTGAAAGCAGAGAAGAGGTAAGTGTGGTGCTCACTCATAAACGGAATGATCCAACACTTGCCTCAAACAAGCTCTTACGCTACAGCTCAGACTGGCTGCCAGAGCTGTCAGCAGTAGCTTCCTTGGATCGGTGCTTGGTGTTACGCGAAGGTAAAACAAAATCCTTTCAGTATTACAAAGTATATTGTCAGGTTTCTTGGAAAAGTGCAGTAAGGTTTTACGCCAACCTTACTGGCTGTAAATCAGTTTGCATTCCTGTTTCGTGGATTTCACTGCTAATCAGAAGTTGGCATGTGCACACTATGCAAGCGTGGATAAGGCTTTGTGTTTACTTGGAAATGCTTGTTCTGATCTTCAGCCAGGCTTTCCAAATTTGAGGTCCAATTTATTTTTTTAAATAATATGCTAAAATTGAAATATTCTAATCATGTTTCTGCTTTTGTCAACTAATTAGTGAGGAAATCATTCTGTATTCTGCTGCAGACTTTAACGTCTCAGAATGGAGCAGTGAAGCTGATCTTCTGGCTTTGCCAGATTTCATCAACTTCATACGAGTACAATTCATGTAAAAAGGGCCCAAGGCCAATTACAAATCCAAAGGATAAAAACAGTTTTAGCAAAACCAAACAAAACACTTACCCAAAAGACATCATAAATTAGTAACCCAGAGAGTAGCAAGCAGGAAACCTTCAGGCTCGGCAGCCGAACAAAGGCTATCATTGCAACACACAGGCCCATAGCCAGAGCTACAAAATGCAAGCACATAATTAGTTCATTAAAAATAGCAAAACAAACAAAAAAAACAAACCCAACCCCAAGCCAATACCTTCCCCCACAAAAAACACTCCAAAGCAGCCTCTGTTTGCACCTGTGCAACACGGCATGCACTAGATGACTATTTCCAGATAGTGAAATTATTCTTTCCAGAGTTACAAAAAGTCAAAACACATTCAGTGGCCAACTGTGAACATGCCCCCACGGAAGCAGAAATCCCTCTGCAGGCATGACTGCCCATTCCACTCAACTTCCACTACCCACCACAAAGAAATGTTTTCATGTCTTGTGTCCTAGAAACTGTATCTCCTCATAAAACACAGACTACCCAGTTAAAAACAGAAGCAACAACTCTGAACTCTTTGTGCCCCAAACATAAACCTCTAAGTTTTCACTATTAGGAGGTTTTCTAGTAAACGCATAAAACAAATAGAATGCTTGACTCTTAATTCAGAAATAGCATGGTTACGTGACATGTTAGAACATATGACATGACAAAAACCCACTGAAACCAATCTTCTGCTTGGGCAAGCTTGTGTAAGACTGCCCAAACATTAACCATGAAATGTTATTGTTTAGATACAGAGGAATTTCCCAATAATAAAAATCTATGTGAAAGCCCATCTACCAACAGGGAAAAAAGTATGGGCATGTCTTTCCCTAACCCTTCTCCCACGGGTGAGTTTTCAGCCAGATCAACAAGCTGAATGACACGCTGCAGCTCAAATGCAAGCTCTGTTCCAAGGGGAATTTTGTCAGGGTAGAAAACTAAGATGTTACGCTAAAAAAAAAAAAAAAAAAAAAAAAAGAAATTATCCCAGTCTTCACATTTGTGTGATTTCCCGCTTCTTTAAGCCTGGCCTTAGCTGCAACAGAGAGGTACTCCACTGACAACTGGATATATTTCAACTGGTTACAAGCAAATCCCTAAAGAGATGCTTAAAAAATAAAACAACTTTAAAAATAAATCAAGTTTCATCTATGGTATCAGTATATTTACAAGGAATAATGGAGCCTTGCTGGGACCAGATTACACTTAAGTATGCAGATATTTGTAAGCAAAACATATTTGTCTAACATGACACAGGATTTGTAAAATTTATAACCCTATTTTGATGAACTGAAACCACAAGGAAAATTGATTCATTACATACATGCCCACCAGCGCGACAACCTGACTAGGCCAAAATTTACAAGGTAACCTTCAGATTCTTGAGCTGTAATTATGCAACTGTGAAACTACCTTACACCTGCATTTCACATGAAAGATGTCGAGTTCTTCCATCAAAACACTAAGGAAACATTTCCACACGGATTCAACAGAAAAAAGTGCCGCCAAACACTGCCAGTGTGACTGCTTGCAGCGCCCAGGGGCTGCATCCCAGCAATGACTTTGTCAAACCCACCTCATCCTTTGAGAACTGCCAGGCTTAGCACAGCACTAAGTGCCACAGCTGCCAGTTTTAATGAAGTAATAGGATTACTCAGATAAAAATGTACCCTAAATCATGCTGCATAACTGTAACTAGCTATAAAATGTAACCAAATTACTGAGGCTTAAAGAATTTGACACAGCAAAGCAGCGAGAAAAAGAACTGCATTCAGCAATTCAATATAGCCTTCAGTTACAGACTTCCTCTGGCAAAAGAGCAAATACAAGGGAACAGTCTGTCTTAAATCAAAGAGGTTTCTCTAAAGCCAGCGTTAATAATAGCTCAAGCAAGCCTATATTTAGGAGAGGATTTCCAGGTTATAATTAACTAGAAGTGGAAATATTTTAACCAGTATGAAGTTTTATCTATTGTTCACACACTCTATTTCTCTATTACTGAAATACAGACACAGATGCAAGACACTTTCATCAAACTAAGCAAATACCAGGTAGAAAAGGAGATAGAAAAAAAGTGCTTTAGATGACAGTGAAATACACATGCTAATAATGATGCAGTTTTGCAGCTGCTTTAAAAAATATTGGTCAATTTAAAAAACAGAAGGGCAGCAAGAATGCCCATGAGCAAGCAGAAGGAATAAAGGCCAAAGTGCAGTCAAACCACCAACAGTGTTCTCTAAACAGAAGCCAGCTTCCTTTTCCAACGAAAATGCCCATAAGTCATATGAGAAACAAAGCCATCCATATCCAAGTTCATTGATGGTGTTGACAAACTATATAAGGCAGATCTCCACTGAAATATACTCCAAACTGGGACAGGGGTGAATAGAGGGAGAGGTAAAATAGCCACACAAACTGTAGCTCTGGGTTGGAAATGGTGGGCAACAGGTCAATGAAGCTGAAAACAAAAGAACTAACTGAAAGAGTTAACCTTCAATTACCAGAACAAATTAACTTCAAAGTCCCTGCAAGCACACTCCTTACAGAATAAGGATATTCTGAGGATTAAGAATATTCTTGCCTATGTGATTAGACTTTCCAGATACACTGTATTTTTCATCTTTATTGCACCAGTGTGCCCAGAACAGATGAAACCACCAAGACGTGGGTGGCATAGTGTCTGGCTTGCAAAGCATTATGCAAGCTGCCAAGGCTTAAGCTTCCCCCACAGGCCACCAGTTGACCTCTGAAAGAAACTGGTACTGAAGTTCTAACCTAATCATGCTCCTATAAAACTCTCAAAGTGTATTTTAAGGAGTGGGACTAAGAACATATCACGAAGTAGCCTCTGACTGATGGCCACAGCAGTTAAGGTCTGCAGCAGTTCCCGAGGTATCCGTGACCATTCAGTTCACTCTGTAGCTATAGACACTGCATACATCTGTGGCATTCCCACTGGACATCTCCAGCTATTTAGGAAAGCTTTTAACCAGGCTTTACCAGGGGACAGTGACCATCCCTGATGATTCTGTCATCAAACAATCCGTCCTGAGAAATAAGCACTTCAAGACCTATAAATATACATCATCACATGCCAGAACAACCCCCCCTGGAGACATTATCTGCTCATTTTATCCTGTGAACTGTCCCTGGCTTTAGAAACTGTTCAACCAACTACTGTGCAGATGGGGGAATTGCAGTATTTGAGCAATGACAACTGTTCTGGCAGGAACTGCCATACCTCGATTTTGTAAGGACTGGAAATTACCACGAACTATTTCCCCTCCTTTTTACTCAGCTCTGAAGTAGAAACACTCTCTTTTAAAGAGACAATCAACTGCACAACAACAAACCATACACACAAAAACTGAGGTGCATTGTTAAGAAGAAATGCCTGCCCCATTTCTCCCTGCGCCGCCAGCCCAGGCGCTGCGAAGCACGTTCACAACATCTGGTTAATTTTCTGCAGCCAGCAAACCAGAAACTCGCCCCGTACAAGTGGGGAGGAGGAGGTAGATCACAGCACGCCCAGCAGCTGGCAGGCGCTGGCTTGAAGACCAGCAAGTGCTCCACTTGCATGTATTACCCAGCAGTACTTATTGCACACATTTCCCTCCAAACAAGATTAACTGAGGTCTCAAGTATTCAGTTACAGAGAAACAAAGGGTAAAGGCAGAAATGATGTGATGCCACTCGCAGCAATATAGTATGAAGTATAAAACTGCAGCCTGTTTCCCTGAGAAAGGCCAGTAAGTGCTGTTCTCTGTTCAATGCCACTGACAAACATTGATTTAGTTGGATTTGAAGAAATTACAGGAGGCTTACCTATACAGCTCAAGCTTCCTTAATATAAACTACATAAAATACTCCAAAGCTAGACAGTATCAACACAGTTCAGTAGATCATGAACAGCCACCAAGAGAAATAAAACCCAGAAACCACTCCGCACCAGTAGTTCAGTACTCTGCAGATTAATTACCAAAGCCCACTATTTCAGACCGAAGTGCTCACAGAAATAGCTATTTTTAAGTAAATGCTTCTGTCAGTATCTCAGTGTAGACAAGTCTTTTCAGATTTTGTCAAAATCCACACTTGACATCACCCTTGATTTCACGGTGGGCTATTCTGCTGAACACAAAACAAACTTCATCTGCATTTTTTCATTTAGTATTTGGGCACTTTACAAGGTATTCCCTAACATATAACAGGTGGAACTTTTTAAATGCAGCAAAAAGCATGAATGAAATGCAACACCTACATACAAAAGAAACAATCAAGGTGCCATGAGAGGTTTCAGTGCTAAGGACCTGCTGCTGCTATTTCATTTTAGGAGGAGTGGGAAATCTGATGCAATGTATGTTTTCTATCGCAACAAACAATTTCAAGTGCAGGTGATCTTGTCCCAGCTATTTTTCCTCAAGCAATCACAACCTCAGGGTACCATTTCACTAGATGTCCTAAGCCAATTTAGCTGCCTGACACTGCTGAGAAGCAGAGGTCCTGCTCCTGGCTACCCCTTCATCCCTTCGCTATCATATCCACTCCATCCTCTCCGATCCCATCATGCTGCCACTTACCTTTTGCCAAATTTAGCACATACCTGACTGCACAATAATCCAATTCATCTCACTGCAGCAGCAGAAAAATAGCCTGGCAAAAAAAGAGTACGCTGCCATTCTAGTGAGCTGAATCAGTTTACCATGTGATTAAGTGAGTGCCAGAGCTAGCACAAGAGATTTGGAAGGCAGAAGGGGAGGAGGAAAGCTCCTTTTCAAAACACCAAGCTGTGAATTCAGTTCAACCAGCATGAACAAAAAAAAAAAAAAAAAAAAAAAAAAATCACACCTTCAAGCCAACTGGATGCCTGCCAGCTTCACCCATCTTATCCATGGCAAGCATCAAAGATATCAAAGACGACCAGCTACTGGGAACTGTCTCACGACAAATTATTTGATCATCTGAACCAATAAACAAGAAGATGCACAGAAAAAATTAACCAGATTTAAGACCAAGTTATGATTCATAAACAACCACTGTCTTCACACATCTTTAACTAAAACTGGCAATACACCCTACATCACACAGGTGCAGAATATCTTTCATGAGTGTTCTGGCACTTCCTTGGAAGCTTTTACAAACCAGAAAAACAGGTGTCCCAGACACCACCCTGGCATGATCCCGACAGCAGCTGTTTTCAGGGAGTCAACTATACAATATTACAACTCAGCAAGCCACTAATATTAGCAGATTTCACCAATCATCACCAGGTGATTGGATGTGTCAGAACAGGCACAAACCAGTAACAAAATCCCTTAATTCACATACTCACCATCCATAAGGAGCCAGTGGCCAGTTAGGACCCAGATAAGGACAAGCATCACAGACAGAGAAAATGAGAGCAACTCAGCAGCAGTGAAACGCCCACAGCAGCCAAAGGAAATCCTAGGAACAACATATAAACATTAGCTAGAAGACTTTATGTTTCCATTTAAAGAACAGAAAATGGACGCTGTTGGAACAAGGCTCAACTGCTGATAAAAGATGCCAAGAACAACTGAAGGGAAGTTCCTTTGCCACAAATAGGTACCAAAACAGCAACAAAATAAAAGCTTTCCTCACATTCAAATAACATGTGTAAAGCCTGAACTACGGAGATGGAAAAAACTCTGTGAATTCTGGCACCTCTCGAAATTGTTACCACGAATGCTATTTCCTAGTACCATTTAGGACAGTGCTTCTTGCAACATGAACTCCAGTCACAAGGTAAAAAACAAAATTAGTTTCAAAACATGACATTAACAACTGTCATTTTCACCCGTGTAGCTACAGTTTCTGAAAGAGCCAACATTAAAATCCATAGTCCAACATTAACAAACATTAAAATCCAATACCAAATCCCAAACTCTGAAATCTGAGCCAAAATAAGCCAAACTTCTTAAAAACCACTGTTGGGAAATCTAGTCCCCTGCAATGGTACCACATTTCCCCATCTGGCAAGCATGCGCGACTTGCAGAAATTGTGCTTCCGAGTTTCAAAGTGGAAACATGGTGCTGGCACAAAAAATATGCACAAACATCTGCCCTGGAGCCCTGAGGTTAATGCTCATAACCAAAGACTCCATTAAAGAATTCTCATTAAAAGTAATAAATACAACATACAAGAAGAGAAGCAAAAGATTTCTCAAGTCCTTACTTGTTTTGGGGTGAACAAGGCCGTGTCAAGTACTGGCACATCGGGAGCAGAAGGAAAGCAAAAGCTATTGTTGCAAGGACTGGAAAAAGAAGAAAAAGTAATATTAGTACATTCAGACCTAATTTCTACAGTACACAAACAAGCTTCTCCAATTTGAAAAAGCTCTTGCAACAATGTTCTGTTATCATGTGTTGCAGTATTATTAAAGCAAAAGCAGCTAAAGGCTCCAAGGTTTTCTGCAGAACTTCTATTGTTAGTACACTTTCAAACCTCAATCAAAATAAAAGCTCTCAAAGGAATGCAACACCCCATCTCCAAACCTTAAAAAAGAAGTCTTAAAGCTATTAATGATCATGTCAGCAAAAAAAACAGCTTTCAAATATTCTAAGAGTAAAAAACAAAACAAAACAAAACTTACTACAAACTGGTTGTGAGACTCTTTTAAAATTCTTCAACATATGACACAGAATAAAGCAGCACAATAAAGGGTTTTATTCCACTCTTCCACTCAGTCATTTTTTACCCCCATCTCACTCAAAACCCTGTATTCATCACTGAAATACAGTACAACTTAAAATAGGTTATACCCAGCAGCTGGCAACTTAACTTTTTAAAAATGTAAAGTGCTTTACATTTTTGAAAACAGTATGATAAAAATACATAAATATCCAAATAGACTATTTCCATAAACATTTTCTTGTTTAAAAAGCATACTTATCCCACCCACACATTTGTGAAAACGTTTAGTAACTGCTGGTATTTATGATCATTTTTTCTTCCAGTTTTTTTTTAAATAATAGCACTGAATCTGTACTAAGGACTGTTTAAAATGCTGAAGAATGAGGGTGTGGAGACACAGACATGTCAGCAGCATGCATTCAAAACTGCTGTAGCAAGAACAGACTGAAATGAAAACGGAAAAGTTGCTTGACATTTTCTGCATGCTGCAAATCAAATCTGTGTGCTGTCCTCATTCCTTAAAACAGTGGGGTGGTTCCTGCTAGTTTTTAAAAAGTTGTTTGTTTTTTTTTTTTTTTTAATTCTTCCCAAATGAAGATGGTGGGAAGGAATCAAACATTCTCTTTAGCACACAGCTTAAACCAGCGGGAGAAAAGAAATTGGTTTGGTCAAACTGCAAACTTCCACCCCTCAATTCTGCCCCTTCTGGTGGGAGAAAGATTTTTTTTTTTTTTTTTTTTTAAATAGATCATTAAAAAAAAAAAAAGTATCTGTGTGCAAATAGCACCATGGAAACTTACAGTTCTATCAGTATTTCAGAGAAGAGAAAAAAAAGCAGACCGAGTAGGGAAAGCATGAAGAGTGTGGCCCCTCATTGCCCTTGGCATTTCACCTTCCCCTTCCTGCCCTCCAGCTCTTCTCAGCAGGGAACCCCGAGCCTCCTGTCCTGGTATCCCTAACCCCTGCCACCCCAACAGCTGGGCTCATTCAGCGAGTATAAGAATTAAAGTGCAATCACACTAATACACAGTGCCCACAGTACCCACTCTCAATCTCATCTCTGATTGTCTGAGCTTCCAGTCATAATGTTTCCTTCTAGTCTCAATACGTATTTATTCAATCAGCTTAACTCCTGTCTGCAGGCAACGCGCCAACTCTGCAGCTCTGCCCTCTGCTCAGCAGCCACTGCTGGCCTTGGGCTGTTTGCTGCACCTACCCTTGCTCCTGACTGTTCCCTGAAAGGCAAATCTTTGCAGAAGGAAGATTTAAGAGGTGTTTAAGAAGTCAGACATCAGCTATAATTCAGAAATCCTCCCACATCAGCCTCTAAAATCTACAAGAAGAGGATGTGAAGTAGCACTACTTGAGTTTCAGGGAACAGGGGGACCAAGTCCCATAGCTCCCAGGTTCCCAGCTCCAGCAGGGTCTGCATCCTGCTCTAAAGCCTCTAATGAAGCTTTGCATTTTAGAGGGTCTGGGGCCAAAGTCCCTTGGGCTTAATGACACGCCCCTGATGCAAGACCAAGGAAAAGCACAAAATTATCATAAAACCAGGTTCAAGAACAAAGATGTTCAAGTGCACCAATCCAAATAGACCCAATCCTCTTAAACCCACAAGAAGCACCAGCTGACACAGTACTGTCTAATTACACACCACAAATGTTACAAATAAAGTCAGAAATGTCAAGGTCATTCTTGAAATAAATGGACAGATAAACTTGACAAATTCAAATTTGTCTTTTGTCATAAATCTTTCCTTATAATATCTTATTATATATGTGTGTATATATATATTCCCCTACTATCTAGCATATAGTAGAATTTATCTGATAATTTATTTTTAATAGGAAAGGACGGGTGTCATAGGTCAAAGTTACAAAAGCAGTATTCAAGAGACCTCTACAGGACTGTGCCTCCATAATTAGAGACAGGAATCTCAAAGACTCGTGTCAAGAGCAGAGATTTAGATTTCACCCATCAACATCAGCCCTGCTTAAGAGGCTGGAGAGAATGCATAGCTCAGGAGTTAAATCATGAGGGAAAAGCCTGCATTGCATATACATGAAGTAGGAGAGGATAAGAGGTATTTGGGGATTTAAAAATCTTCACAGACTCAGTATGCGGACTGAGGACTTCAATTTTTAAAAGCTGACACGTATTTGGAGCAGTAGGAAGAATCTTGCTACCCAGAACAGCAGCTGGTCTCTAAGAACTCCAAAAAGGTCAAAAGGCCAAAATTTTCCAAAATTCAAAGCCCTGGTATTTACTTAAATGACAAAATGCAAATAATAAACCGGATCAGAGGACTTGCAGTTTATTTGCAGACAACAGTTTCATTTTTGTTCTGAATTCAAGCAGTGCAAAAGAATACTCAAAATGCTAGTGAGACCAGAAGTACCCTTGAAACAAAGAAAAACTGTATAAAAGCCAAAACCAAAATTAAACCAGGAAAAGAAGGCTCTGGACAGGATCTCCACAGTTATGCTATGATCTTATAAAGTACCTGAGTTATGAAATGCCATGTACAGTTCTGAGCACTGATCTGTAAACAAGTGAACTTTATGTAAAATAATACATCCAGCATCTTTCAAAACTCTGGTAATTTATAGTTCAGTAGGTTTAGCAAATCTCTAAGTGGAAAATACTTCTCAAATAGTACTTGTCACTTTATTAATAGCTACAGAGACATGAAAATACAACTGTGAAACCTGATGAGTTTTTTTTTAAATGTACTATGACAAGTATTATAATTATTATCAACAATATTCAATTATATCAGTGCTTTCTGTTCTATTACAATTTGTATAAAAAGAAGAAAACTTAGTCACCTGCTGTGCATATTGTAAAGACAACTTGAACTGAATCAAAGAAGAAGAACATAACTAGGAGAGACACAGATGCTCCGATCGGCAGGAACAACGCCTGGGTAGAATCAATGGTTTGAATACCTGCAGAAGAAGGAAAGTGGCATTAACTTGGGCTATTTCTTACCGCATACATATTGACAGCCTGTCCTCACCAACACAACCGAGGATTCTGACAATATATTCCATTTCAGTGCTGATGCAATAGATGTTTACTCTGAGATCCTCCTGCACTATCATAACCAAACACAGCAGTCTGTGCAAAAACACTCCAGCTAATCTGCACAATCACAGTGGCTGGGTGTGCGCAGCAACAGCCCTGCTTTGCCGAATCCCAGAACTGAAAGTTGAAAGAAAATGTATTAATTTTTACTTGTGCCATAGATAGAACCAGTAACAAGCTACAAAAAATAACATTATTTAGGGATTAGGAATCATATAGCAGTTATAGATTTGCTTCATTTTACACTGAGCAACATAAATATGTTGAACAGAGCATATGCAAGTTTTATTTAATCTCTCAGCACACGGTAAAGAGCACAACCAACAGCAGAGCTGCAGACAATGTTAGGCTGATGGAGCTAATGCAAAGGGTGCCACAGCTTCAAATTCCACTTGGGTGAAGGCCACCACCTACTTAAATTGCATCACTGATTGCAATCACCAGATAGCATCAAGCCTAACAATAAAGGGCAGTTTTCAAAAAACACCCAAGCCATTTACCTGTTTATGAAACTAACAGCTCAGTTCAGCATGCACTATAATTGCCTTTTCTGCTAAAAACCCAACAAAAGTTTCATATTTTATAGCTGGAAGGAATTTTAAACAGTGCAGAGATACTGAGGTATTTTATTCTGATTGTTTCCCCCATCTCAACCATGCAGTGTGACTACTAAGGATATTAATAATGGGACAGGAGATTTTTTACTATATTTTACCATGAGTTTTTAGAATTACTAACAACATTTAGAAGATTGGGCTTTGGAAAACCCACCTATCCCTGCAAATTCTAATACTTAACCATTCTCTGTAGCTGTATTTACATTTGATCATGAGTGGGGGGGAAATAAACCATAAGTAGTAACCCAATTAGAAATACAAGACATATACTTGTAGAGACATATACCTGTAGAGCATTAAAATATCATGTAACAGCTGAAGTAGTCACTTGATAAGAGGTATCCAAAATGTCTCTAATGAAAAATTAATACAAGATTCAGACCTAGATGAGATTTAAAACAAGCCTAGCATCAGTGTTATCCCAAAATAATTAGACACTGGTGTATGAAGCAGAGTTTTACCAGTCCCAGGATTTTAAGGATAAGCTTTTAGGTCATCAAGCAAAGTATCTGTGCATATGTATGTATGCACACACACATACAAGCAAATATACACGCACATTGTTTGTGTGTGAGAATGTGTCTATCATTTTTTTCTGTGGAAGAGTGGCAGATTATCTAAATAATGGGTTCCCTACACAGCTCATAGTTACCACTGTATCTGAGTATGTTGAAAAACCTCAAATATTATCTATCATAAGTATTTAACCATTTTCATAAAAGAAAAGCTGAACAGTAAGCATGGAAACCATGACACTTGCACTGTATAGTCATTCATTAGTTCAGGTCATATTTAAGAAAAATCAATTCATAAGTAGCACAGTAAATTTTAAAATAAAAAGCAAAAGAACTCAGTCATTTGGGATTTCTACATTATCGAGGTCTGGTACAAAAAGGTAAGCACAATATAGATAGTCCTGTAATGACAGTGCAAAGACACAGAAATTCCTATGTTCTAATCTGTGATATAGATCTATTTCTTCCTGCTTGGAGAAAGGGCATTTATTCACATGCCCTTCAACTTCCCAAGGGAAAAAACAAACAAAACAAATACCCAGAAATTACATACTACAAACCACCTTGGCATATGGGAATTAGTGCCTGAAGCGTTAAATGTCAAAGATCTTCATTTAATTTCTGATAATTTTGACAGCTAATCCCCTTAATGTGCTTATTCCCCAGCCCCATACTGTCTTCTCTTACTTCCCAGATGCCAAAAGCCCCAACTCTTCATTGCTGGATCACCAAGCACAGCAACCTCTTTGCTGTATTGTCAACAGAAGCAGTGCTCTGACAAGTGTGTAAATTCCAAGAGTCCATATTTGAAAAAACAAACAAACAAACAAAACAAAACCCACAAACAAAACAAAACAAAACAAAAAAAAAACGGCAAAAGACACATATAACATGTTATTTATGCCATAGTTTTTAAGCTGTATTTCCTTCTTTAAGCAAAGCAACCTTAGCATTCAGGGTTTTGTGCACAGGGCTGCTCGTGTATTTCTAAACTTGCAGAAACTATTCACTCTAAAGCCTATGATCAGAACATGGCCATATAAATTGCTGTAAAATAAACTCAGGTGTGAATTTACAGCACATTGTGCACATTCCACTCTAACTGTTCATGTACATATTTTTACCTGTAAAACAGTGCATCTCAAATAGCCAAACTGCCTGGAATCTATTTATAGATTACAGAGGGGACAATCACCATGTAGGAGCTGACATGTTAATCCCCACTCTGAATAGATTGTGTGTAGACACATATTTTGTTGTCCATTATAAATGAGTTGCCCAAAGCCATGTGAACTCTATACTTCAAATTTCTCTATTAATAAAGCAGAATCATCCTTACAGACTTGTTAGCATACCATAAGATCTCTCATTGCTTACAGACTGACTAATATGTCGGTGATAAACTCCAGACAAAAAGAAATTACATTCCCTTCTCATAACTGTGTGGTGGCTTTTTTTTTTTTTTTTTTTTTTTTTCAAGTAAAGCCATTTCCATTTCCAGTAAAACCTGACAAAATGTGCAGCATGCAATTTTTACGCATTGTGGAAATGTTACATTGATGTTTTAAATTTAGCTTCCATGGGCATGAACTAGATAACAGTATTAGTACATAGCAAGATGGTAAGTGCCTAGACAAAACGGTTCCATTATATCAGGTGAATCTACAACACACATAGCTGAATTACACAGACAGAGGAAGCACAAGAAGATACAGCACAATGAAGTGATGAAAGAAAGATAAGGAGTAAAGCTAACCCTTACTGTTATTGGTGCTGTTGCCATTAAAAGACCCAGCTGCGCTGCTACTATCTTTCTCTTTGTCTTGATTCTCAAAGTCCATGTTAAGAGACCTGCAGGAAACAAAGCAAACTTAACAGACAAGTTTCAAACTACTATTTAGGCTCATCAGCTACTGTCTAATTACCATTCTACCACAGCACCCTCTCTGTGAAAAAGCCATTTAATGCTGGTTATTAGAAAAAACACCATACATACCGGAAAACTAAAAACTAAACTAAAAAAGCTTACAGTTACAGATGAGGCACCAAATCACATCGGTTCTAATAGTGAGACTAGTCAACAGAGTGTCTGAACTGGTGTTAACAACAAACTGCAACAAAGATATTTATCTGCATTACTGGGAAGTGTAGAACACCATGGAAATGCAATAAACCTTTCAATTCTCTGATGAATTTCAACCCTTTCCAAGTTCTCATTTCGATCCTTTTCACTCAAATTTAACTTTCAGGTTTCATTTAAAAAACAATGTTATTTCCTTCCTCTAAATCTTGTTAAGAATTATGACCAAAACTAGCTTATAATCATCTGCTGAATGCAGGGTCTTAGTTCACTGAAAAAGTTTCAGCAAAGCCTAGAAAGTAACCATATATATATTTTACATATATGTAGAACATGACTAGAGGAAACTCTGAATAAATTGTACAGGTTGATACAATTTAAGTAATCCATAAGAGCTGACATTGCCCTATATTTACCTTTTCATTTTTTACATACACACTTTTAGAAAGTTCCAAAATAACACATTATTCTACCTCTTTTGCCACAGTACTTTACTTTGATGTAACCTCTACATTATATTCTAACAAATTTTGACAAAACTTTATGAAATGGGGAAATTTCACTTAACGTCTGTTTTGGCCAGCAATCATTTTTATTGTTAAAATTCGACACTGTTTTTAATAAAATGACTAGCAATCAAGTTCACCATGACAGCTTCTCACTCTGAGACATGTATGTTATCCATGATTTAGCTGCATATTTATTTATTCAAACAAGCTACAGAGAACCACAAGAAGCACTATACAGCTCCCACTGTGTAGCTCCTGTCCTAAGTCTGCAGCAGCAGCCACGTATTTCAATAAAACGACCAGGTCAACAGGCATTAAACTCCTTTTCAAGTTTAGCTGTAACTGTGCTATGTAAAGTAAATAAATTCTATTAATTTATCAGACAAGTAAAAATATACACCACAACCTTCTATACAATTTTACAGCTATCAAAGTTATTTAATTTTAGTGTATAGGTTACCTACTGCAATGCACAGGTGAGCATTTTTGTGCTGCCGTCACACAACCTGAAATTAAGCACATATAGGTCTATAGTGTCAAGATAAGTGTGGTGTATTAAAGAGGGGGTTGAGCAGTTTCACTGTATAAAACAAGAACAAAAAAAAGACTATTCCAGTATAAAACCAGTTTGTTTCTTCTGCTTGTATTATACAAGCACTCCCAAACAGTGGCATGAAATTAGCTTTTGGGCTCAGGCAAGCTATGAGGAAGCTTCAACCTCAGACACACTGTACTACTACACAGATTATGGATCATCAACTAGAAAACTAACAAAAATACAAAGAGGCAATGGAGAACACTAGAATTCTAACAAATTAATCTTTTCTTCTTAGCTTGTTCTACTAAAGATCTCTCTGCTCTGCATCTTCTTTGGGCTGCCTTTATCCTTCATTCACACTTCTACTTTCCCTATTAACGCATTGTAGTCTCATAATTTTCCTCTCAAGCTATAAAAATCAGTGAGGAGGCTGACAATCCTCCAGGACTTGATCCAAGATTCGGCCAAACAAGATAATTCTTTTCCCAGTGTAGTGTTTCATTCCTCTCTGAATTATCACCGTTTAGCAAGAATTTCACACCATCATTCTCCCAGTGGCATCAAGCAACTCATAATTTAAGGGATTGTTATCAGCAACGAAATCTGGAAATAAACTGTTAGATCTACTGCTCATAAACAACGTCAGCCATTCTTTTACTGCAATAGTCAACAATTATTACATTACTACCTATAAACATCTCTACCTCAAAAGCAAGCATAAATTAGGAAATTACTTTCACTTAGCAATACGGTTGCTGATCCAAGACAACTTCCCAGTAATCTCCAACCGTTTTATGATTTGGCTCTTCTCTCTGCTACAAATTACTACTAACGTAATTAAAAAATTGAGAAGTGATCACTAAAACATCCTCCAAGAAAATATAACCCAAAAAAGTTAAAAATTATACTGTATAGCAAGATATACTCCAAACTACTGGGCTGTAAAGACATTGCAAGCTGGGAAACACTTGCTTTTTTGTTCAAGTTTCTGCTGGGCTTCCAGAGGCAATATTCAGTCAGCACCTCCCATCGGGCAATAAACTACACAGTTGTTTCTTCTGTGGGTCCTCACAGTTCGAGTGGGTAGGATTTCTAGCACAATGTTTCAAAGCAAGCACAGCTCAGCCTCCCCCAGGGAACCACTCTGTAGGGTTACACTAAGGCCAAAGGAATGAATAAGCTGCTGGCACATTACTACCATGAAAGTTCAGATTCAACTATGGATCACTTCCACAGCTGTAATACTTCAGGGAAACCCTGCAGGAGAATATTCTTATGAAACAGTGGAAGAAACAGGAAAGCAAGTATGTATCTACAGAGTTGCCAACAGATGCAATACATTGAGAAGTTCTTAATTGCTCTACCTAGTGAGGACAGTCACCCATCTTAACAGCCCTAAGGCCATGAGAACTGTGGGTTGCTACAGAACTGCCAAATTTCAATTGTTCTAAATAAAACTAAATAAATAATTACTATCAGAAACAGTCACTGACCTGAGACAGTTTAATTCAATCAAATCTCAATGCATATTATAGCAATCGAGCCCAAAATAGGTTGTGTGCTCTAATACTGGTACAGTCTTGCCTAAAACATTGCTGTGAGGTTACAGAACAAGTTCCAATGCAAGATCTGGAGTAGGAATAAGAATAGGGAAAACAATAGCAGAAAGTGCACGTAAAAATGTTTTCATTGCCTATATGGAGTAACAATGCCTGAGTCCCATGTCTCTGACAAGAACATCTCACCTTCAGCAGGTATTTTATGTGCACCCACTGCACACATGCAGACCACCTTTGTAGTATTTGGTGAGGTCTGTCCGAATCCCCATTTCCATTCTACCAGCACTCCAGCTGTTGATGCTTACGAACTCCACAGCCTTTCTAAGTTTTACTGTGAAATATGTACCCTGACCTCTGTAAATGTTAAGCTGTAAAGACAACTATAAGGACACCATTTGAACTACTCTCTATTTATACACATACTTTATGTACCCAAAGCCTAGAGACAGAAGACACCACTTTCATCCCATGGTTCTTGTTTGGTTTAAAAGCAGATACTTGAACAGGTAGATTCTGGGTTAAATCTGGCTTTACATAAGCTGAGAGACCATGTCTGGCTATGTGATAGAATAGAAAAAGATTTAGCTATTACCTGCCTGCAAAACCCCAACATTTAAATCACAGAGAAACACTTGGGCAAGAATAGGTGGCTGTCCTGCAAGAACCCACAGGAAACAATCTGTTTCAAGCTAAGCTCACCTCTTTAAAAAAAAAAAGATAACCAACACATATGCTTTCATGCTCCAGTTTACAGACTGTAATGGTTTAAAGGATTATACTTGCCCCTTTGGCAGTCAATAATAAAGTATATCAAGTTCAAGGGCAGAGACAGCCAGAATGTGTATGGTGAGATGTTCAAAAGGGCTTGAAGCTGTAACTCCTGACCCAACACAAATGTAGGAAGGAAACACTTGTTTGTCCACAGGAAGAAAAGCTGGAACTCAACTCCATAAATTAAATTTTGTTCTGGAGGCAGAATTTACGCATAACCCACTAGACATTCTGAGTACCTTGGGGGTCTTGGGGTTTTTTTCTTTGTTTCACTTTTGGACAAATGCTGCTTGTATGAATAAGGACAGTGGACCATGGCTTTCCTTTGTTCCCCTGAAACCTCTTGCATTAGATTAGATTCACCACACACGTGGATTTTATCCTAACGACTCACCCACCCAATTCTTTCTGATCCTATTACTGCACTTCTGTTTAAGTCACTTGCCAGCAATACCACAATAACTCCATTTGCTGCTTCTCAGACTGAAAATCAGAAACAAAACCCACTTTCTGCAACATGAAGGTTAACTAAGGAGTGCTATTTGCTTTTTGTCTTATGACAGCTCCATTTGAGACGAAGCACTCAAATCTAGATGAAGACAACATTGTTGCCATTTGAGAACAAGCACCATAAACTGTAACTTTAGTCTGTCCGGCAAGTCACTGTTCTAAGAAAATCCACCCACTTTGCCAGAAGATTTTATTTTACTACTTTAGGAATTTCCAGATGAACATAATTTTGCAACTTGCTACCAGACTTGAATTTCTTAAATAATTTACTTGTATCTTTAGACCCCTTTGATAACACCCCTGTACAATTTTCCGTAAAAAACTGCTTTTGACCTCACTTGCTGCCCAAACAGAATGGGAATTTGTCCAAGTCACCATCATAACTACAGGTTTCAGTTGAGACATCTGCTAAAGAAACTACAATTAAGAAATTAATTTTAAAACTATGGGACCATATCTTGGTCTGTAATAGCTTACATCTTGGGGTCTTCAGGATACATGCAAAGGAAGTGGACTAGTAAAGGGCATTTCCTCAGTTGATCTGTGTCCATCACCATCCCACTACTTCATCCAGATTGTTCTAAAGTTTGCAGCCCTTGTTACACAAGAAGTTTAAAATGTACATGTAGGACAAGATGGTAAAAGAGCATGTGTATATAGGAATAGGATGGCAAACAGCAGCGAAAAATTTTTAAAGCAAGGAGGCCTGAGAAGGGCAGGCAATTTAAGTTCAAGCACTCCTGCTGTTTTATACTGCATTATGTTTTCACAATTGAATTTTAACAAGCACTTTGTCTTCTTGCATCCAGATGCATAGTTCCTTTTTACACAACTGCAAAAATTCAAATAGTTGAAAACTGAATTAGTCCCTCAACTATATGTTTGACTGACTCAAAACTTGAAGAAAAAAGGAAACAAACACAACCTTTTATTTTTGTATTTTTATAATCTCTAGATTTTGTTTTCCTAAAGCCTTCTATTTTAGTTCCATCAGCAGTGCTGTTACCTGATACTTGCTCGCAACAACAGACAGCTCTTACCAAAAATTGGCTCTTTCATGATATGATTTTATTAGCTTATGATGATGATGATTTAAAACCTCTTATCCTAACAGCTGCAACTTACATCATACATATGACCATGGCTATCATCACTTTCAGGAATACTCATAGCAGTTCAGAGACTTCATAGTGAATGTGTAGCCTTTTATCATAGACTTGTTAAATGAAGCAATGTATGTACTTCAAGAAACTGAAAGAAAAACATGCTGTACTTAAGTTTGAAAAAAAAGAATACTTTCACGCTGTGATTATTTTTTTAATATTTAAGTATGAACTTCATTCCTTAGGTGCCACTACATTAAAAGAAACTGTGTAATACAAGATGCAAGTCTAAAGGGACAACTATGTTTTCTTTAAACTATACTCATCTCTTAAGATGGGACAAATTTGATTTTTGAAGATTCAAACCTATTCTGCAGCAGTTCTCAGACACTTTGCTGGAATTCAACACTGATAGTGTTTCCCACTTTTCTATCAAGCTGTTACTCACACTAAAGTAAACAGCACTGGCACTCAGGGATCTCTGGTTTAGAAGACTTGTTTGCAATCACAAGAGGACATGCTGAATTGACCAACACTGAAACATTAGATATAAAATTCTACTATTGCTAACATTACATTCCTATCTCTCTTCACAGTCCTTTTATATAATTAATATACCTTTATAGTCTTCAAGGACTAACTTCTAAGTTATTTTATATGTGCTTGTAACTTTACATACAATTGTGTCTTTCAGAAACCCCAACTAGCTACTTTTTCTTCCTTTTCCATTTCCTTCTCAGAAGCAAAAAATACTTCATTTACATTATCAGTCAGACAAAGATACAATGAAACAAAAGGCATAAGCTGTATTCAGTGACCTGCCATATTTTTATTTGAAAAATTCTGCAGAAGCTTGAAGAGAAATCTTACCTGAAACTGCCGTAGACTATGAGAAGAATAGAAATCAGGAAGGTAGACACTTGACTGGAATCCACAAGGGAATATGCCCTGGAATGGGGAAAAAGAAGGCAGGTGTGTCATCAGGAGTGTCCATTTCTCCAGTGCCATTTGCTAATTCTTATTGTAATACAAATAGAGAATTGGATGATAAATCTTTATGGCAGATCTCTAAAGTTTTCGTATCATCTAGGAATATAAAATTTGCAGCTTGTAAATTAACTTTTTATATTGAAGACTGTAGCATGTGAAATCTGTACAGCCACCAAAGGACAAATCAAAACCCTTATGTTAACTTGTTCTGAACTCACTGCATTCAGATTTTTCTTCCTCAAACACATTAAAATTGCTTCAATTGCACCTAATGCAACCTTGCATGTAAATAACACTAACCTGCTTCGTCTAAGATTTCTTCTGTCTTAACTGATAATAGTTAAGTTGCTATGTGGCAGTCAAGGTTCACATAGTCCAGGAAAAAGAAAAAAAAAAAAAAAACAAAACCCAAAACCAAACCTCACAACATGCTGGCATACGCATTTATTAAACCACACACAGTTACTTCCACATTACATCCTGCAGACCACTTGATACAGGATTCCTGATAGAAATTCAGCAGGAGGCTTAAAAACCAGCTTTATTCCCCGATACCTTTGTGTTTCAAGCACAGAAATATAAACATTAATATTTGCCAATTTTTCTTCCTATCCCTGACAGTCCAAACACCACTCTGTAGCTTACATTGAAACTTCTTTTAATCTGGACAATGGGACAGAGGCAGCCTCAGCAAGGTCCCAGAGGGCAGCCAGCGGGGGGAGAGTGGGGATTATATACTTGAGGACAGAAAAACCTTTAAGGGGGACCTTGAGGAATGGACCAAAAAGATGGCAACAGCTCACAAGTCAAGAGAAATGATCACTCCCTCTACTTAGCACTTGTGAAGCTGTATCTTGAATACTGTGTACAGTATTGGGGGCCCCAAAAAAGACAAACACTGGCACACTGGAGTGAGCCAAGCAGAAGGCCACTGCACTGGCTGGGGTACAATAGAGGAGGAGAGGCTCTGGGAGTCACACTACAACTCCCAACAGTTTTTCAACAACTTGTGCTAAAGTAATGGAAACGGAAAAGTATAATGCCCAGTGTTAATTGCATTAGTCTTATACTACGAAAAAAGATAACTAAACATTTCTGAAAACCAACTGAAAAGCCTAATTTCAGCAGGACTATGGATATGGAACAAAGATAATTGAATTACAAGATAGTTGCAAATTAAATATCACTAAACAAATAAAAACTAAAGCTACAAGACAGTTAAAGAATCACTCATCCCATCCCCAATTAAAAAGCAATTTAGAGAAAATTATGAAACCACTAGACACACATTTTAAAATACTTTTTTTATTATATAAACACAAATGGGAACCTTCTACTATAGAAATTCAATATTAAACATCACTGAAAAACAGACTGCCTCTTTTAGATGAAATTATATACTCGTCAAATAAGCTTTTAAAAAAATGAGAAACTACTTTTGTTAATTACCATAAATAACTTCAACATTACCCCACACTAAAAGCAAAAGACATATGTCTTATTTGCTCATAAAGCTGGACAACACATAGAGAAGATCCTAAGCTTTAAATAGTTTTTTAAATTTCAGTCATGTTTGACCTTTAGTTTCCAGACTGTGGAACAGAGGTCTTAAAAGCACTGATGAAGATCAATACGCTGAACTGCAAACACATGCAATATGTAACTAAGTACTTCCAATTAGTGGATATATAAATGCTGTTCAGGTTACATACCATATAGATCATAGCATATTATTTTTAGCCAATGATTACAGCTAAGCAGACACTGAGAAGAAACAGCTTAAGGGTGAGGACACTAGTTTTATGACCTGTTACTAGCTTCAGCTTCAGGAAAAACCATTTCCTCACCCAATCTTGAGTGAAGAGAAAGGGAAACTGCATCCTGTTTGGATTTGAGAATAAATAATGGAATTCATCTATTAAAAGAACCTTCAGGAACTCAAAATCTAGAAGAAAAGCAAAATGACTGAATGGAATTTCAACTGGGATTAAATATGCCCAGGGTTATGCGCTGAACTTTATGAACTGATGTTCATAAAATTACATCTTCATAAATTGGCAAATACTTTTGAGATGAACAATGTTTTCTACATAATTCATCATCCAGTGGCAACTTTGGAAGCTATGATAATTAAAATGCCATTTCATCATAATTACTAAACATTAGTCAAAGCAAGTCTGTAAATGTTAGAAAAAATTATAAAACAGATAAAATAAGGATGATACACGGATCATGAATCAGTCCTGTGCATAATCCATTAAATTTTGTATTAAAAACTAAGGGCACTTTGGAACAATGAAAGAAATTTAATACATGCAAACCCATTCTAAACAATCATCTAATATACCATAACCCTACTGATAGGCTGCAGTGATGATTGGGACAGCTTCCTCCTGATTCTATGCAAGGGAGAAAGGAGAATTAAAGTTCTTCCATCCTGCACAAGAAAAAAGTACAACAGTGTAATTATAAACTCATCGCGGACCAGTGATGTTTCCCAACTTCTCTGCACAGAGAAGCAGGACATCCTAAAAACTGAGTGTTGGTATTGCAATTATGGTCTGGGAAAGCTTGTGTTCACGGATACCCCAGCAAATAGGGCCAAGGAGACTTATTCACACTTTCCTTCTTCCTGAGGCAGCTGGAAAAAGAGCAACAGAAAACAAACAGAGTATGGCAAGTCTAAGGGTAACTGCACAGCGGGAATCAAACAAGCAGTCTGAGCATGTCCAGATTCCATCCGAAGTTTCCAACACAAGTAGCCCACAAGCAAACTTCAAGAATAATTTTAGAATGCTGAAGTGAATCTCATCATAATAAAACCCTGCATATTTTTAACAACTAATTTCCCTACTTTATATAAGGTATTACACAAAACCTACAAACAAAACTGCTTCCTAAAATCTTAACCACAGACTAAACCCCTTGATCACAAATAAACACTTTCTAATGCATTAATTTAGACTAGAGATAATAAGCAAATGAAAGCCTCACATGAAAAATTGAGAAGTAAGATTACTTCAAAGTTTTTAAGAGTATTCAAATTGCAAGACAGTGATCTGCAAACCCATTTGTATTCTTAACTGAAATTTAACTGACCTTGTATAAGTCCAACAGAGTCCATATGCATATAACTGGATTCTTCTATAAGCATAATTCAAGTATGCAAGTTTGTATACTCCCACAGCCAAACATGGCATCAGTTCTACGTTCTTTTCAAATGGGATCAGTCAAAACCAAAACAAAACCCTCCACTTAACGAAATTTTTCAGAAGCTTGAGTAGACTTTGTGCAGTCATATTTAACCAGCCTTCCACTGCACACATGAAAATGACACCATCTTCCTTCTACAAGGTATTTTTGTAAAATTAAGTATTTAATTTCAGAACAAGTAGTGGAAACTCACGCATGGAAAATGCCTGTAACAAGGACGTGTACAGTTGTCCTTTGAATTAAATACTAATCTCAGAAGCAGTTCTTAGTACTTACTACGTGACAATCCATGAAGAAAAGATGGTTATTTTTCATTCTCATTCTTAAAATTAGTACTGACATATGGCCATGCTCAAGACTGCTGTCTTTTGAAGAACTTTAGTACAATTCATGTGCATGCCACATTACAACTATCAATCCATTTCAGAACTCTAGTATATATGCAGAACACTGCTCAAAATACAAAAGCACCATCGGTTTTCCCAGGGAAGTACATTTTTTAGGATTCTTATACTACCACACCTGAAATTCAACATCCATGTAAGGAAGTTTTTTTTTTAGAAGTTATTTAAATCAGGCTATCAGACAGATTCTTGCTAACTCACTCAAGTAACAAATAACCACATATAGTTATTAAACTATAATATTAGACCCAAATACTTTATAAAACCAAACACGTTGATGGCTTACTTTTCTCTGTAAGCTCCTTTTCTCAGTCAGCTAGTGAGAGGTAACTTCCCAAAAGCCTTCTCTACAACTTGAGAGCTCACTCTGAAGCTGCATCTTTACATGGCTGAGATCAATTTTAGCAAATTCTCTGCCATTAGGCATCTATTTCTGGCAGCTTCATGGGCAAGTGCTTACAACACAGAGCTTGCTAAGGCATGCCAAGACAGAGACACAGCAAGCACTGTTCTATAACACATTCTGTGTGTCAGCCCTACAGCTATACAGTGAAAGTATTGTCCAGACAACAATCCAAGCAGCGAGCTCTCCAGCCTGGCACAGACTGCTCCATAGACCTTTACCTACAGAACAATTCCAGGGATGCCCAGCCATTGTGACACACCACCACTTCCATGCCTCCCAAACAGTAACCATGCAAAATACACCACACCAGTTACAGCTGGCGTTCCAAGCAGCACTCTCCCTTCTTCTGGGAAAAAATGAATAACTTCTGTATTCCCAAGGGAACAGAGACCTCCTTCATTCCCAGCTGGAAAAGATGGTAACCAGCTCATAAAGCTTGCAACAACAACAATAATAGCATTACATTAGAGACACTTGCAAGCTCTTTTTTCTCTGTATCAGTAGCTGCAGGTCAAGCTCTCTTTTCCCCTGCCACCACAGGTCCAAGCTCACCTGTCTTTGTGAACATTCACCCTATAGGGCCTCTGCCATCTGCCTGCTTAGGCATTTCTTATAAACTCCCCTTTTGTGTTGTTTTCCTATTATGTACTTACTTTATTTTATCTGTTTCTGTTATTTCTTTTGCACTTCCACTCAAGAAATCACTCAGTTAATGCAAGCACTGGTTCTCATGCTTCAGCTCCTTCTTATCACTAAAAGATAAGCAGTTTCTTGATAACAGTCTCAACAGTCCTTCCAAACCAGCAGAAGGAGTCCCTTAGGCAAAGCCTGGTACTTCTTTTTGCCCTCCATGTTGAGGGATAAGCATCTGCAACTCACTTTGTTCAGTAAAGACACAGAGAAATATAGAGTAAGAACCAAATGTGTCTCCTGGTGACAGCACAGAGCGTTACCCTCTACATAATCTACTCGTTGTGGGCCAGTCCGATGTGACCACAAGCCAACGCTGCCATTACAAAAGCAACTACTTCTTCTCACCTTTTACCAGTCACCTACTCTCTTCATCCTCTCTTTCTTCATCCTGTGGTAGCACAACCATTTGCAAACCACATGGAAAACGAGATCAGGGGACTTGTCTGCTTGAATAATAATGGAGAATGAATCGGAAGGTTTCCCAAGTGATTCAGATTCCTGATCTGGCATGTTTCTGGACATAAAATCAAAGAGGAAAAACTTTTCAGTGGCAGCATTGACTTAGGTACTCCAGAACTACCGCCTAAAACATGAGGAAAGTTTTACATAATTGAAATAAAAACCGTTTTGTTTGCGTAAGATGCCTACTAAATGTACAATCAAACAAATTCAGCCCCTCAGTGTTTCAGTAGCAAATATCACTCTCCTGATTTTCAGGTACAAGAGAAATTATTGTGAAGAATTCTGCTGAGGGGGGAACGAGAAATCTGTGCACTGAAGTTTCCATAGCAAAGCATGCTAAAGGCCTTGGACATGAACCAGTCTCATACAAAAGCTGTTACAACAGCAGCAAGATAAACTTTCCTTGCATTTACTGTACATATATGAGAATGCAAACAATAGAGCAACAAATAAATCACATCAACTGGAAGAGTGCAGTAGATGAACTGACTTCACATGAAGAGAGAAAACTGCATTTCATTGTGTATTTTTCTTTATCAGCGATCATAATATCCAAGCACTTTCGAGATTAAGGAAAATAAAACTGTAGGAGGGAGGTAGGCATACTAGATAAGCTAGTGTAAGAATGGATTAAAATAGAAAAGCTTTTACTTTGTTTAACAGGACCAAATCTGCAACTTGCAGACATCTACCATGGAATCACAGAAATTCACACTGACAGGCATGTAAGGAGACCATTTAATTCACTGAGTTATAATTTGATCTTACTTTGGGGAAAGCCAATCAATTAGTCATGACAGATGTTTACCTCATCTGTTGTTTAAAACAGTCACTGGTGAAATTGGAAGACTTTTCTTGACATCTAATGGAGGTCTTTCTGACTACAGTTTTAGTTTTACTTCATACTTTTTTTCCTACACAAAAAGTCCTTCAAAACTCATGGGGAGCTTCTCATACCAGACACAACAGGGGTAAACTGGATCCGCATATGAATTCACTTGCATATCTCAGTTTCTGAAATATGTGGCTGCTTGAGATGTGACCACACAAAACTTCAAATACTCTTTAGCCCACATTAAGAGCCATGACTATTTATTCAACCAATATGGTACTCTTCACCTACACTTCAAAATTCACTTTTATTATCAAATGTCTGCTATCTCCCCACAAGGTAAGTGACAAAAATCCATGCCCACTAAAACATGTATCCCACTTCCCCAATTTCCATTCTCTTCAAAAGAAAATTCCTCACAGGTAAGTACCAGCATTGGAAGGGTGACAATGAAGAATCTCCTTCCCTGCGTTCGTTTCCAGAATTTGTTGAATGCACACATTCAGTTTGAGGATCCCATCACAGCAGACAGTCAATTCTTTCAAAGGGAAACATAAGGAAAAGCAAACAAACAAACCACCCTAACCCCAACAATCAACTTCTGTTGGAAATCTGGTGTTAAATGTCAAAATCAAGGATGGAGAAAGTTGCCACCTCCCCCCTCCTCCAAGGGTTCCATATATTTCAAAAGCTTTTTAGTGTGTTTATTACATTACTGATTGCTATAGCAATAGAAAAACAGAAAGTCTAGAAATACTAGTTGGTAAATTCAAGGCAAGTTGAAGAATATTTTGGAATTCACTTCCCCTGCCCCACCCCTGGTTTTTGGAGCTATCAGCTGTAAGCAGAAATCAACATTCACCTTCACACTGCTGCAACGACCCTATGCATCTATTTTCTTTTTATCATGGAAGAGTATGCCACTCAAGGAAAATGTTCTCTCGAATCTACATGTGTCTGATATTTTCCAAAAGTTCTATTAACTATTTTATTCCTTAACAGAAGTATGAAAGAAGACAGTAATCAGGACAATTGCTAAGAGCAACTAATTTTTGATGCTACAGTGAAAGACATTTGTGAGCTAACCAATGTAGCATCATTTATTAAGACAAGCAAATCAAACCCAAGAACTCCAGAGCACAGCCCTAGGGCACGTGAAAGACCACCACCACCATATACACGAAGATGAGTTACAGTTAATTGCGCAAATATTAATTTTGGTTGGGGGGCAGACTCACTCTGTAGGTAAAACCAATACTACATTTTTACTTTACTGGGTTCCAGGTCAAGGGTGTAACTAAAAAGCTTCTTTCAACTGCCTTACATGTGCAAGATATATACATATTTAAGAGCCTCCATTAGGCTTGCTGCCAAACCAAAGTTAAATCTGAGTGTAACAGTTAAAGGTGTAATTTTAAGCGTGAAGTCATGGCACCCACAGCTGTAAACATATCTCAACACTAATCCATTCTTTAGTGTGATTCATAGGAAAAACAAGCAAATCGCTATGGCTTCACTTACGTTAAAGGAATAGCTTGTTTTCTAAAGTAAGTTTACAATTTCACCTAATTGTCACGTGCAGATAAGGTCTGCTACATCCAAGTAATTTATGGAAACATGGATCATTATCAGAAAAAAAAAACTTAAAGCAAGTATGAAGTGAAAACAAACAAAAACAAAAACAAGCAGTAATTTCAGATGTCCCACTAAAACCAGATTTTCCTATGCAGACTTGGTTAGGGCTCAGGCAAACATTTCAAAGTTGTAACCAGAGAATAATTCTGCTGTTTTTCAGACACAGGGCTCAGAACAACATTTTCACACTACTAGATACCAAATTTTTTTTTCCTTCCCCCCTCCCCCCAACATCCGACTAAAAACCCAATTCCCTCTTCTACCCTTTACAGAAAGCTGCTTTCCTAAAACTCTCACTCTAAAACCAAACACCAAGTTCCCAACTAAATTGCTAAGACAAAACACTCCTCTGAGCTCACTCTGAGAGGAAAATTAAGTTTAGAGCCAGTAAGGCATCAGGAGAGACAACCTTGCAAAAAAACATTTTCTGTTAAAAACATCAGCTGAGCTACCCTTTGGTTCACCCGACTGTTTGCCAACAGAACAAAGAATTACATGTTTCACAGTGTTTAAGAATTACAGTAACTGGAAGATTTCCAGATTTCACATTCAGCCTAGAGCACTCATTTCCCCGCAGGAATGGGAGCACAACTTCCAGTCCTTGCATGAAAGCATAAGAATACCTTACTCATTCAAAGGAGTATTATTTCCAACCAACACAGAACAGCATCCCTGTACCTCAAAAGCATCCTTAGTTCCTGACCTCACCATTGCTCTGGTGGAACCACACTGAACAGGATACTTGGGAGCAAAATTTGCGATCAGTGGTTAATAGATAAAAATTAGATCTTCACATAAGTTGTACTAGACACACGTATCTGAGTATTAAGTAGCCAGAACCAAAATAAATACCAAAAATCATATTGAATGTCTTTGACATTGCTGCAACAGAAAATACAGGCTTTTGTATTTCATACTACCCCTTTGTAGACTGAATAGGGAGTCTGGATACATAATTTTCACCTCTTACCTACAGACAAAAGTAAATTTACTTTTTTGAGGTTCATTGTTTTATTGAGGAGGGTTGGTTGGTTGATCTGGTTTGGGTTGGGGTTTTCGCTCTAAAACAGACAAAAACAAGACCTAGGGACCTCCCCTTCTTTGTTTCTTCCTCAAAGAAAGAAAAAACAAGATGTCATTAAAAACGGGGCATGCTTATACTGCCAAATATATGTCACCACCAGCCAAAGAATCCTCTCCAGCAGCAGATTTTGAAACTATCACAACTGTACACAACTGCAAACATTTTCTGAAAACGTGAACAAAACACCCATACAATAATGTGTGCAGTAACAGATCCCCATGGAAGAAAAGTTAATAGGTATCATTTCAATGAGTTAATCTGAACAAGAACATATGGAACAACACTTTCTATATCAAAACACAAAGTCTGTTAGTAGTAAGTGTTTTACTCAATTCTGTATTTTAATTGTGTCATGTTTATTTTAACTGAGCTGTATCAGATCAGCTAACTTGTCCCAGAACGCTGGCATCCTACTACAGACCAGCCCCAGCAAACTACTGAGCCAAGGAGCAGCCCTGGTGTTACTTTTTAAAACAATTATTAATTTTATCCCTTCCTGAGAATTAAATCTAAGGGATTCCAGCTTAAAATAGGATTTGCATGTGTTGGATTGAAAATCAGAAGTCTGAGTCAAGAAAGACTGACCAGCCAGCCCTACATTGTAAATTTTAGCCACCTTAAGTTAGCTCATCTCTGATTTCAGCAGCATTAATAGAGCTCTGCCAACAAAACCTCCTTTTTCAAACATTTGCCACTACAATTAGCCTGGGTTTTGCTAGCAAAACTTATTTTATTCATAAGCAGGAAAAGAAGAAAGAGGTGGAAAAATTACCCCAGCAAAATGAACTGGCAAATTAGCATTTCTGTGAAGTGAGTTTTCATTAAGGCCAGCAGTTGCGCAATTACTAGGTATGACGCAGAGAGGAAAGGAGTCAACATGTGGCCAGGGACAAGGTGGGACTAAAACCCTTTCAGGAGCAGCTTACAGTTAGGTCTGTTTAAGCACATTGTAAAACACACACCTGTAGTCTAAGCTTTACTGGAGCTAATGTAAATAAAACAAAACCAACCTTCCTATTTCCCTCTAACTTTCTATGCAGAATTTAGCACTGGTTTAATTACGTTAGTTTTCAAAATAGACCACAGGTACAGTAGTTGCTGCAATCTATGACAACATTTTATAGTACTTCATACTATTTCAGTCCTTCCAGATTTGTTTTCACTAGTAAACTCTATGGTTGCAGCATGCAAGCAGCATCCATCTCCTGAAAACTCTAATAAAGTTATCTGTCCTCACAAGCTTTTTGAGCACCTGCAAACTTTTATAACCCCCAGCTCTCCAAGATGCCTTTGCTACAGCTGCAGGGTCCTACCACAATATAACATCTTGAGGCACTGGCCACCCATTAACAAGACTGCCAAATAAACCCCAGCACCGTTAACATGTAAGGGTGTTCAGTGAGGTACAAGAAGTAGCCATACTGTATTTGCAAGAGCCAGACTACCAGTACGTTTCATGAGAATGAGAAAAAGAGATCAGACTCATTTGCTGAACTAAGTA